GGATGCAGCCAGTTATCTCCTGGTATTATCTAATTCCTTTATTTTTGAAGGACCTTCTGTTTAGAAAGTGAACATTCAGCCCTTTCTGGAAATCAGTGCTTTGCAAACCGATCTGAAGCTAGACATTTACAAATTTTGTAATCCTCTGAATTTTGTAATAATTTTGTGGGAAGCATTTTATTTGAACACAGATTCTTACCTTACCTCCCATGTGCCTTACTCTAGTCCCCAAAGCAGCAAAAATGCAGTCCAAATTTCAAGAGGAACACTGATCTCTTCTGAGATGTGTAGTTGAGGTGCCTCATGTAAAATCCCATGTGCTCTAGAAAATGTGAAAAGTAAACAGTAGAGGAAGTATGTTCACAAACTAGACTTAGTGGGAGCTTCTGACTAAGAATACACTCTCTTACTAAGAAGGAAACTGTTTTGAAGTTTGAAAATATGTATTTTGGTCACAATGCATTGTTTAGATGATTGATACTGATAATGTTGCGTGCTGTCAAACCACAATGTGTGGCCTCTATTTCCAAAGCTCCTGCAATCTGTTACAAAAACACAGGAGAGGTGAACTGGGAAAATAAAAACCTACAATTCGATTTGTATTTGAAAAAAAATATCAACCCAAGCAGCTTGGCCTTTGGCCGGGTTTTTTTAATGAGTCACATGTGTAAGGCTGCCTTTCTTCTTGGAGGCTGCTGGTATCCAATCCACTTGCTTTCTCATCTCCCATGTCATGCATTCTTTGACTTTTTTAGGAGCACTGGTCTTAGCTGCTTGGGGCAAACTTCCTCTGGCTTTTACTGAGAGTGGAGTACTCCAAAACCTCTTGTCACTTGCAGCAAGACTCCAGCAGAATACTGAACACCCGCATCTGCAAACTAAGCAGGTGCTTGAGTTGTTATTGAAACCTAGAGTGCACTAATTGCAAGCTTTGTGGTAGAATACTAAAATGTTATATGAGATAATATGGGCTTTTTCTGGTTTTCTAGGGCTATCCAGGCACCTCTGTGTGTGAAATTTGGTAGCATCGTAGTTACTTCTGAGTCCGTTTATTGCATCTCCAGTGCCTGTTTCCATCAGTTATGAATTTAAGTAACTCTTTCTTTGTTCCTGTTCATGAACTGATTTCCCTTTCTCTGATGACATGCAGAACGCTGACATATTTGGTAAATTGCCTGAGTGGATGGATTTCCCATTGCAGGATTGTCGTTAGGCCATTTGTGGTCAGTGCTTCCTGTTCTTCATTTCCCATGAAATGTGCTCCTTAACTGGATAATGCCTTTTAAACAAGAGAAGAACTGGAGCTGCTTTTCAGTTAGAAATTTTGGGACATGTTTTGATTTGTGCTCACAGCTTGCAGATCTACACACAAGTCCCTGCTGTCCTCATAAATATATGTGATCATACAGGGATAAAGAATTAGTATTCCCGTAGTGTGTAATTGCTAAAAGTGCATGTAAGTGTCCCCACCCATAAGTTGACATATCTTTGTACTGTATGCCTTGCAAGCACCCGAAAAAAACCCCTTCATTTGTCAACAGGCTTACTGTTCCTGTGTAGCAGTCAACAAGTTGCAACACCTTTGCAAAGTCAGGAAATGTTTTTACTGTAATTCAGCCTATTCGAAACCCGAGGCCCAGATGCTCTCTGAGAGGCTTTTCATCCATGTCTGACAGAGCCAGGACAAGAAGCTGCAGATGAAACCTTAGTGGAAATGTTCCTTTTGGCTTCCAAGAGCCAACCTTCACTGCAGTACTTGTGGAGGGTCAGCCCAGTGCGGTGACTACATCACTTGTCTTACTCTTTTGAGGGCAGTAATTTGGCCCTGCTCATTTTGGCCCTGAAAGCTATTCTCTGTGTGACTTTTCCCCCAGTCCTCTGCAACTTGAAGTACCGTTTAGCAGCGATGCAGTTGTCATCTGGTGCTGAAATGAAGGTTGCAAAAATTCTTTGCCCATTTAAGTAAGTATCAGATCTGGGTACAATTTTTCTTTGTGTTGAGATTAAATATTTTATTTCTGAAAAATGCTGATTCATTGAAGCCAAAATGGAGACCAAGAACTGCTCCTAACCAGGTCCTGATTGATATCAAGAAACAGAGGCACTTCAACTTTTTGCACATCTCAGGAAAGTGCACCAACCTCTAGATTGTTGGGGGTGCTGCTGATGGTGTAGTTGTTTTCATGAAAAACCTCAAGTTCTTGATTTCGTTCCAAGGTAGTACATCTCTGAAATCATGAAAAGGTTTGCGGGATGGGCAGATGAATGTTTCCATCCAGATGTGCTGACAGATTTTCTAGTAATGCTTTGCTATCTTTTCATGACAATGAAAGGAGAAATTAGATTGCTAAAAAACAAACCATATTTCTTAGCTGCAATCATACTGGATTTATTTTAAAATAATTAAGAAAAAACAGTCCAAATTACTTATCAAGATCTTTGGCAGGTGTCATATCAGACTTGCATGATTTCCATTTCACATAGAGTCATTAAGTTGTTTTAACATGGATAAAATGAAGTTATATCGTAACTGTAATATTACTCAAGTCTAGCAGGTTAAATACTTAAAATCACAATAATTTTTGTGTGATTTTGTGTAATCCTAATCTGTATTAGTGCTAACAAACGAATAATTAATATTAACATGGAATAGTCAAAATTCCAGATGTAAGTTTGCTCAAGGACATGTTGACTTTTCTTTGAAAGAAATAATTGAAAATAATTTTTACACTGGTATGAAAATGTCAAATAGATCTGCAGTTTACAAGAGTAAAACAAGCACCTTCGTAGGATAAGGTCTTTTGGATGAAAGCCTAAAAGAATCTAGAGAGTTTTGGTTTGTTGAACTTGTTACCTCATTTCTATTTTATTTTTTTTCATTTATGTGCAGCATTTGCTGTGGTATTTATATGTGGTTCTCTTCAAACCTGACAATATTTAGCAGGTTTATTTGTTTTTTTCCAGTACTAAAGCTTTAGGCAATGGAAGGAGATCTTGGTAGATTTCCTTGGTCGTTGTTCCAATTTGATCTGGTATTTTTAAGTATTAAAAAAAGAAACTGGCAGCCCTAACACACAATTATTAACGATCTTGTAGATTGATTATATTCCAAAGAATACTCTTCTGCTTTGGGTGGGGATTGAGGAAATAAGTAAGTCTGACTTACTAAGAAAACCCTCTTGAAAACAAGGTGTGATTTTTTTTCTGTAATAAATAAGTCTTAGACTTCTGTTTGTAATTAAAAAAAATAAGTCTATTGTTACGTACTAGTAAAGGTTGAAGGAGGATAAGAAATTGAGAAGAGACTATTGAGACTGGTTTTTGAGGGTCATTGCAAGTCAGATTAAAATTCGAGCTGACACCATTCTGATTTTCCAACGCTAGAAGGTCTGAAAATGCCATTGATGCTCCTCATGCGTTTGTAAGCCTGAAAAGGGAGTTTGGCTGTTAGGTGTGGGGAGAAAAGTCCGTCACATGGAGGAAGAAAACCAAAACCTTTTAGAAGAGGTAGTAGGGGAGAAAAAAAATATGCATGCAGTGAAGGGAGGGGAGAGCAAAAGCTAGTGTGTGTCTCTGATGCCCACCTGGTAGCCCAGACACATATCCTGCTGTCTTACTGTGTGCCAGAGAGCACGCAGTGTCACCAGCAAGTGCTGAAACACGCTTTTGCCCCCACCTACCCTGTAGGGCCAGCTCTCCCCCTGCTCAGACGAGGGCTTGCTCCATCAGCCCACGGGTACAGTAGGGAACTGTACTGGGGAGTCACACAAGATGTCCATGCCTTGTTTTCTAGGTTTGCACTGCCCTTGGGTGAGGTGTGGTTTTGTTTCTCTGCCTACATTGCTACACTGCTACATTGAACAGCATGACCACAAGGTTCAATAAAAAATGCAAATACCGGGCTTTATTTGTAACACCCAAAATAGTCACTCCCATCCAGACGTTTAGGAAATACAGAGGTGCGAAAAGCTATAGTGAATGAAATAGTGCTGCACTTACATCGGAGGGATACCTCTTCTGTTGTTCAGTTTACACATTCTTTACCTTGCCATCCAGATAGTAGTTGGGTCTTCCACCTTTGCCCATTTTTCTGTGTTTCTCATTAATTATTTTAGCTGGTATAGCTGTCTGCCCTTTGAAGCCTTTTAGCAGGTCGGCATGGGTGTAACCGTTCACACTAAAACTCACTATATCCTCTTCTTAAATAGGAGACAGTAACTCTTTTCTGTTAGACCACTCCCTAATTAGAATAAAGGTAGCTTTCCATAGAATTGTAAAATGCCTTATTGCTATGCTTGGAATAATCTCCTGCATCTAATTGCCTAGAAAACAATTCTTAGCTTCAATGAAATGTAAAAGTCTCTCTCTTCTCTGTTGATCAAAGTGACCCAGGGACTATTGCTGCAAATCTTTTTAAGAGAGTTGTCTCTGAGTCCTTGTGGTCGCTTAGAGTATGGATTTGTGTGCCAGCTTATTCCTTTCCTGGCAAAGGAACACAGAACCAAACTCTTATAACTTAAACACTGCTGTCCGGTAAAATCCTGTGAGGTTTGCTGTACAGCAAATGGCATGGAAGTTGTTACCAGCTTATTTTACTTCTTAAAATGCAGACCCAAAGATGTGTATTTGCTGATTCTTTCAATGGCAGAGTTGAAATTGCTTTATCTTACAGACCTCTAAGTACCATTAAAAATACTTTACATAATTCAAGATTTGTTTCCATCTTATCACTTAGTGATGACTTCTGCCTCTAGTCAACACCTTTGTGGGTTTTGTGAAAGCTAGTTCAAAAGCTTCAAAGGCTAAATGCAAAAGAGAAGAGAGATAAAAATCTTTAAAAGTCAGGAAATAGAAAAATTTCTAACAGTCTTTTGACTTAGTCACATTAGACATTCTGGATGCTTTATGATATTTATTATATTTATGACAAGCAGTATTATGTTAAGCTTAACGTTTAACAAGAGAGACAACAGAATATGAGATAATGCAACACAGCCAAGGTATCCAGTGCTGTCAGAAGTTTAATTCTTATTTTAACTGTGCATATTAAAACATTGTACCCTGGTTTCTTTGTCTTAAGCAAACATTTCTATCAATCATTGGCATTTAGAAGGATATAAAAGATTTAATAAAATAGATGTAGTCAGCTTTATAAAAGTTCAGTAGCAGTTTTCTGATGAGATGCTTAACTATTTGCTCCACACTTGTTCAGCTTGTAAATCTAGGAGGTACTACAGGTGTTAAAAATACAGAACTTTCTGTTTCCCCACCCCATTTGCTGTCAGGCTTGACACCAGTTGGGCAAGTGATATCTTCCCAACAACGTATTAAATGCAAGACCTTTGCATTTCCCAGAGATTGTTGGATAGGAATAAGCCAGCTTTATAGAGCTGTTTTATTTACAGAGCTCAACTTTGTAAATTAATTAAAACACTGGTCTTTTAAAATTTGTTTTCTGCAAGCATCCCTGCACGCAAGGTTTGTAAGCATTCTCTGTGATGCTTCGTGCATCTCACGGAGAATCACTCAGATGTTTGTGAAACTCTGGCTAATTTTGCTTTTCAGGCAAATGTGCATTTGACTGACTCCGGTGGGAGAAAGTAGCCGTACTGCGTATGTCTTGACATAAACTGGTTGCAGCTAAACAAAGCAGATCTGGACTTCGAACGGCACACAATATCGTACCATTATACGACAACCCAAGCAGTCAGAAATTGTGTCAGATCCTCAAAAAAGTCTTAAAAAGCACAAGAGTTTTTTGTTGGTCTTTTTATTTTCCTTTAAGAAGGTGGTTAAATGCAGGATGTCTTTTGCCTGTCCTCTGGTTTCTCTGCCTTCAAGTTATCTTCTGAAATCACAGGGGCTAGAAACTTAATTTAATTATTGTGATTAAAACTAAGATTTAATGCCATAATATGACGGAGACTGAAGCTGAGACAAAGAAAAACGCACAAGACTCAAGTTCTGAGAACCAGTAACACACAAATTCATTAAACCAGTGAATTTCTAAATTCAGAAAACCTCCAGAAAACCAGAATTGCTCAGGTTGGTTTGAGTTCGTTGGGACGTGTTTGTGGGTGAGCTAGGAACCAAACAGAAGAAACCTTTCTGTTGTGTTGTTTTTCTTGCTCTGCACAGAAGAAAAAACCTATATACATTTAAGTTCAAAGTTTGCCTCGCAGCAGCTTTGACCGAATCACATGATTCTTTTCTGTAGTTGTAGCACTTGTACTGGGGTTCCAGCGTAAGCTTTGTGGATATTTCTCGGTACGACGGTTTCAGATTTACACCATGCAGTGACACAGCTTAATTCTGTTGTTAAGGTTTCCTATTCCGTTTATCTGCGTTTGAAAGGAAGCAGCATTCCTTCCACCTGAAGCGCTGTCTGCATTACACTTGCACCTCTGTAGCTCGGTGGTGTTTTTATTCTTTATTTATTTTTTTTTAATTCTTTTTCTGCCATCTTTGGAGAGAGAAGTTTCTTCCTCCACAGTCCGGACTTGGAGGAAGGGGCAGAGTCAGAGGGACACAGAGCGCTTCCTCTTCCTAGCAGCGTACTCTCCCGCAACAAAATTGGACAAGGAGTGGCTCAGGCGAGTGTCCAGAGTATCAGAGCTGCTGCCACTGCTGGTGATTTTCACCCAGGGGCACAGGCACCGGAGCATGGCTCTGCGGATGTAGTTGTCGAAGCAATAGTAAATGAAAGGGTTGGCACAGCTATTGGCAAAAGCAAAAGGGCTGCTCACCTTCATGCCCAGCTGGGCAATCATGTCAGGAAAACAGTCGGGCTGCTTCAGGAGTCCCAAAAGGATGGCCATAAGCTTGAAAAGATTGAAGGGAACCCAGGAGATAACAAAAGCTGCCACTACTATGAAGACAATCTTAATGGATTTTCTCAGTTTCTTATCGTGTTTCCCAGCTTTCTGATAATGCACACAGAGTCTCTTGGTGATGGAACAGTAAAAGGTTAAGATACTCAACAGTGGGAAGAAGAAGGCCAGGATTAAAAGCATCAGTGACACGACCTGTTTGTCTTCTGTCACGGCTTTATCTGTGCAGTAAGTCTTTCCATACTGCTTCTTCAGTTCTCTGGACAAAAGAGTTGGTATCCCTAAGCAGCAGGATAATAACCAGACACAGATGCAGAGTCCACTGGAATAGGATCTTGTTCTGACCCGTCGAGCGACAGAGGGATACATGATAGCAAGGTACCGGTCAGCGCTCATACAAGTGAGGAGGAGGATGCTGCAGTACATGTTGACTGAGATGACATAGGAACTAGCTTTACAGAGGAAAGATCCTACCCTCCAGCTCCCGTCTGACGCCTCCTTGTCCACCCAGAATGGCAGCGTGATGAGGAAGATGAAGTCAGAAGCAGCGAGGTTGATGATGAAGATGTCGATCAGCCTCTGGACCCGTCGCTTGAAGACCAAGGCTACTATCAGGATGGAGTTGCCAACGATGCCCACCAGGAACACAGCAGTGTACAGGATAGGGAGGAAAGTAGACATGTGTTGCAGATGCTGATACTGGCAGTTGTCATCATAGTAGTAATCATAGTTGAAAGTGACTGTAGTCACGGGCGAAAGCTGGGCGAGTTCCATTTCTGGCCAAGCTGTCCTCATCGCCACTCTGAGGAAGGCTCTGAGCTCCCCCTAACCCTTCCCTCAAGGTCTTCTTTAAAAACATGTTAGCAAGGGAGGGGGGAGGAGGAGGCAGAGGGAGGAGGAGGAGAAAAGTGGTTTTGGAGGGGTAATCTGTATACTTTTAGCCAATCACATAGGCAACGGGCAAGCGACGAGTCTCTGATTAGTCAAAACCCTTTCTTCAGAATAAACATTTGCTTCTTTTTTTAAAATCAAGTTTAGTTCTACTGATTTTATCTTCATTTTGCATTTGCCTGTATAAGCAAACCAAGTTTGGGTTTTGCTTTTATTTTAGGGGGAGGGGAGGTAGTTTTGAAGATTATGAACCTTTTTTTCTTTAAGACAGGATATTGCTAGTTAGCAGAGGTTCAAGATTGTACTAGCTCAGAAGTCAGAACGGTGAATTCAGGTGCCACATTCTTTACTCAAAACATTTTGTATAAATTGCTTTTCAGGGCAAGTTCAAGTTTTCTGAGGCTTGGAGGTTTTTACTTTGTTTATCATTTTTGTTTTCTGTTGAGAGTAATTGTCTCATATGAACATATTTAGGGAAAAACATTTCAAACTACAGTCTCCATTCTGCCCTGTAGTTCGTTGTTCAGTCCCAGGCTCTCCACTGCTCTGCCAGTGCCCCTCTCCTTGCCCTACAGCCCCTCCAGTTCCCCTAGCCCCGGGCTCCCCACACCCAGCCTTATGAATGTATTAGGAACTTAGAGGACAGTTTTACAGTGTGTCGTATATTCTTCTGAATTTGAAACTTGATGTTCCCATCCCCACACAGGCTTCCTTATCAGCCACAGTCTTGGTCTCCAGTGCAGTGATTTGTTCCTTCTCCTTCTGACTGCACAGCCCACATGGCTCCTGAGCCATTGTTATGTACAGTGCTTGCTTCTCTTGAAGAGTTTTTCTTAAAGACATGATTTTCCTCATCTCTCATTCGCAGTATCAGTATCACTCCAGCTGTGACTTACCTTACAGATGGCCTTTTCAGCCTTACGTAAATCTCGTGAAAATTCTCACTTTTTAAGCTACTGATTTTATTTCAGCTTTGTGCAGTGCTTACTAATTTGAAACTTCTACTACTGGTCTTCATCATCCTTCCTCTCCTCTGCAGTTAATTTCATCTTCTCCTTCTCTCCCTTCCACCTATATGTTCACAGAACAGGCGTGTCTTCAGAATTCTCAAAGCTTTGAGCAAATTGCTTACCAGAGCATGCTTGAGCCCTGGCCAGATAGATTGCATGCATGTATTATTTCCACAGGCAAAGAGCAATGCCAAATCACATGGACACTGAAATTGTCCCATCCAATGCAGTCTGGATGCCCTCAGATTCACTCTGCCAGTGCTCGGGTTATGTGCTTCTGTGTGGCAGGTACCTGGTAGACTTCCAGGAGCCTGGAAAAGCAGCCAGCAGCTATTAAATGACGGGCTGCTGCATCAAGGGATATTTAGGTGGGCACTCTCTATTATGTAGATACCCTGATACCTAATAAGGAGCTAGTTATGTACGACTGCTTTCCTATCAGTGGGCACTAGTAGACTCTAGCTGACTATCTTTCATGGAACGTGTAAGGATTGAATTATCTCATTGTGTGTAAGTCAGCCATCCCAAACTCTGAAAAAAGATCAAGGTGCTTAAAACCACTCTGGCTTAGATTACTGATTTGTCTGCCTTGTAAGCATGAGACTGTAGGGAAGCATAGGCTAAAATCATCTCAGCTTCTGAAGATTACAAAGATATATCTACTTTTCAGCTAAAAATTGTGTAAAAATGCCCAAGTATGTTACAGTTTACAGAAATGATATTTGATGGATTCAGTGCAAAGGTGAGTTTGGCGTCATCTTTTCTTATTTCTTCTTCAATGAATGTTTTTCAGTTTTTTTCTTCCAAGAAGCACTGGGAAGTGGAGGCATTCTCTTTCCATCCCTACTGGAGTAGAAGATCAGTTGAACTCTACAATCGGCAGTATAAAAGTTCTGCCTCTCTTGCAAAGATGGACCTACACGTTGTTTTACTCTGCACTTAGATCCTGACAGCTTACATGCAGTTGCACGGTTTAGAAATCAGGCACAAACTTCTCTCCCTCCATCTCACACCACTACATACTCCTTCTCGAAATTCACTCCTTCCCTTTCCCCATCCCCGAGCAGACAAAAAAGTGTGTAACTTTTAAAAAAGCTTAATGGAACCATAAAAATAAGCATATGTCCATGTATTCTTACGTTTGCAGTTCCTCACTTTGTTGTCTACCTGCAGTTTAATAGCCTTACTTACTAAAATAAAAAATGAGATAGTAAACCTTTTCCAGCAGGTGTCAACTCCGTTCTCTTGAATATGCTCCGTATTTCTTGAATACTCTAAATAGATTTGTGGATGTTGCTGTTTGTTGCCATGTTACAGATGTGACACTTCCTTATCTAGACAAAAGATTTTCAAAAACAGTATGAAGCATTGTCACAAATAATGAAAAGATCTGTAATTAATCAAGTGAAGCAGCAGCAAGCATATTTGTTGTTTGTCTGTAAGCCTTGGGGTTTTTTTATGTGTCATTGATTCACTTAGGGCTTCATGTAGGGTCTGACTCTTTCCAGAGCTCATTTCCCTAAAGTAGACCCAAGCTCTCAAAAATACTCAGCACGTGGAAATTCCCCTTTTAACACTTCTGCATAGATCCTCCACAAAGAACTACCTCCCTGGAGGTATTCAAAAGACGGGTTGACATAGTGCTTAGTGACATGGTTTAAAGATGTGGTTTTTTGTTTTTGTCAGAATTAGGTTGATGGTTGGACTAGATGATCTTAAAGGTCCCTTCCCACCTAGACAATTCTGATTCTATGAAAGCTGGAGTGAAAAGATCCAAGAGATGTAGTGAGATGTTTTGTCACCAGGAGGACAGCCTCTGCCCTCTCCTTACCCCTCCTCCTAGATTTTCCCAGCACTTTCCTCCTCCCAGACCTCGCCAGATGCATGTAAACCCTTTTCCTGAACAAAATTTTCTGCTGAAGCCACAGCTACTGGCTTGGCTTGGGTGTATGTTCTTCATTTGGGGTACCCATCTTGCCCAGCCCTTGACAGAGCTCTGCTGACGCAGTCTGAAAAAATGCAGCCACAGGGTTCTGTGTAGTTTTGAACCTGAGCGTGAACCTAAAGCTTTTGTAACCACACGCTCACGACTGTCATGGCCATGAATTTGGCCAGTTCTGCTTTAAAAAGTATATTTCTCTGATAGTCCTGCCTTTCTAAAATGCACTTATGAAGTTTGTTGTGTCAGTGTCTGTACATTCCTTTAGTCTTCCTCATACGAAATACTGAAGTCTTTCCAACAGTAGCGAGGGAAAAGATTTCTTGTCTTTTGGTCATAGTTCTGTAATGCTTGTGATACCTGTATTATTGTAGCCTTCTAATTTTATGGCAAAATCAGTAAAAGAGATGTGCAGCAGAACAATCTGCACAGGAAGTATGCAGGGTTATTGATTTAGTTTGTTACACACACGCATACTCTCGTTGCACATTTCTGCAATTGAAGCACTTTTGGTAGCACGCTATAGGGTTTGTTTTTTCAATATTTTTTTTTTCCATTCTCTATTTTACTGATAGTTTAAATGGGGTTTTATTCCAGCTTGTACATGTGCTTTTATATAAGCACAGGCATCTAGATAAAATGAGCTGCATATCTGTAAATTATTAATGATGATAAATGCTGAGAAGGAACAGCGGTTCATTTGGCTGTAAAAGAAAGTGTAGTAGTTTCTAAATGATTGCGCTTCAAAAACCTGTAAGGAATAGAGATTTGCAGACCTAATTAAAAAAACAACCAACACCCCCCAACGAACACCAAATTGGCTGAAACTGCCTTACTATACTATAACCTAGGTGAAGGCAGGCTCAGAGGTAACCAGATGAATGCTAACCAACAGGAGTTTCACCCCTGAACAAAGAGGAGAGGGTAGAACTGATTCAGGTAAAATCCGAAACCATGCATCGAGATAGACTGAAATAGTTTCATACTGAGAGCAGCAGTCTCCAAAGTGGGGTGTGGGAAGAAAGTATTTTTTGTGCACTTAATAAAATAACAATTTTTAAAATAGTGTTTATGTTCTTTTTATCTCATTGTATTTTTTTAATTTTATATTTCTGTATGTTAATATATTTCCTAGTATTAGTACAGTAGTACATGTATATAATTATTTTTTTTTTAAATGTAATGGGGGTACATGCTCAAAAAGTTTTTACTGATGGGGTGCATGATAAAATGGTTTGGAGACCACTGACTTAGAAGACAAGTGGGTATCATTAAAGCAAAGTTACACTATTCATCATATTTGGAAGCAGCACATCTAGAAGGTCTTCTCTCTGTGAAAATTATGATTATGGTAGAGTTTTCTTAGCCTGCCGTGTTCTGTGCCACAGATAGAAAAATACAGAAGGCAGAAATAAAACCAAGAAGGCTGTATAAAGAGGTCTGAGGGGAATCCGTGGGATTTTCTGCTCTTTCTGGCTATGTGAAAGGCTTCTAGATGGTGCCTAAAACCAAAAAACTAAAACTGCCCTTTTTGTTATTACAAAGAGAACATTTGTTGGAAGAGGCAATATCTTGTAGTAAATTAGCTAGCAGTACTGGAAGGAATGGGCAGACACCTTGTTCAGGTCTGAATCAATACTTCTAAAGCCAATGTGACAGATGGAAAGGGTTTTTCATTTCTCATCCTGTATCAACTTCATTTAATACAGGCAGTGCCGCCTCCTGCAAAGTTTTGCTTACTTCCTTAGACTGTGAGAGCTAAAATGACACAAATTTAGTACGGCACAATTTTTTTGCAACGTGCTAGGGTTTTGTTTGTTTGCTTGTTTTTGTTTGCAGCACTCTGATGTTAAATTTTCCCTCAGTGCTGAGAACTTCTGTTAGAGGTACTAATGAGCGCACGTGATCCAGGTCTGCTATCGCAGAAACTTCAGTTTTGCAAAATAGCAGGCTATAGAATTTAAGCTATAGCCATCAGCGTTATTCCCTTCATGCTTTCGTGTGCAAACTGCCCCCGTTTCTGCACAGCAAAGCAAACTTTAGCTTTGAAAATCTTCCCAAATGATCCTGTTCTGTAGCTAAATTGGATCCAGGAGTGGCTATGCTGAGGCGTGCTGAGGAGGTGCGAAAAGAAGAGAAAACAAAAAAAAGCTAGGTATTAGCAATGAATGACTGTGTTCATCCATAATGTTTTTACTGGGTTTCTCTTATTATATGGAGGGGTATTTTTCCAGAAAAAAAAAAAAAAAAACAAAACCAACCCAGGTGAAATCTGTAAACAATATTTGAAATTAAATAAGTAAAATGAAACACATCTCTTCGTCTCTTCCCTGTGGCTGTTTTCAAGCAGCTGCACACATCACATTGATCAGGGGCAGATTATGAAGAAGAGGCCACCATAGTCTAATTCAATAATGCAAAATTTTGCAGAATTGATTCTCATTTTTACGAGATTAGATCTTTTAGTGGAAAAACCGAGAGACTTGCCAGTGTTAGATAATTCACTATGATTTACAGTAAACTGTTCCAATTCTGCTTATCCCATGGCTTAGAATACAGAAGATTTTTGTTGTGGGGGTTTTTTTTTGTTTGTTTGTTTTCTAGCTCCAACTTCTTATAGTTTTGTCAGGTATTCTGAAAGAAACAATTACCGTTTTTTTTTTGTTCCCTGTTGCCATTATATGTATCTCATGGTCTGGCACCTCCTTAGCTCTCTCTTCAATATGTTAAATTGACTGACCTTCCATGATATATTTCACTGAGAGAGATTTTCTAATTGCTCAGTGATTTTTGTGTCGCTTTTCAGGTTCCTCTCCTCTACTTTATCAACATATCAAAACTAGAGATGCTGTTTCAGCAGGCAGCAGCAACTCTAAATGTGATACAACTTCTTTCCTCCCTGTGAATTCTCCGTTTATACATCTGAGGTTGCAGGAAAATTGTGGAGTTTGGCCACACCACCATCTTGGCAGTTGGTAATCCACTGTGACCCCTTTGTCCTTTGAATTTTGTGCTTCCCAGGGTAACGTTTTATGTCAGGTAGCTATAGCCTCCACTCTTTGCTCTTAAACGAATGAGCTCATCAATGACCTTATTGAAATGCATATTTGCTTGCCCCTGGCTACCAAATGATCAGGTCACCCTGTACCAGTGCCCTTTCCATGTCATTATTTACCCTTCCCTCAGGCCTCTTGTCATCTGTAAAGTTTATCAGAGATACCCTGCTTTCTTCCAGGCCATCGATAAAGATGGTAAATATTTTAGAGTCTGGGATAAATCCCAGTTAGACTCCAAAATATGTCCTTGCAGACAGTTATATTATGAGGTGTTGGTGAGACGGTTCCATGACCTGGAAAGGTTGGGTGTATAGGCATAGGGATTCTTAATTAAATATAATTTCTAATTATTCAGGTTCTTACATCACTGCTTTCACCTCGTTGCAAAAACTCTTCCTGGCTGCTCTGGGAGAGGAGTTGGTTGGAATCATTCTCCAGACGTCCGCGGAGATGTGAAAAGCTCGAATGTGATTCTGTTTTTTTCTGAGTATTTGTTTGCAAGTTTGGAGGTTGGTAAAATCAAAACTGGGTGTGGTGGTCTCTCAGCAGGGGCGTTGTTAACCACATTTCAGAGCCCTCTCCTAGCTTGCATGGGTACGCGCATACCAGGGATGGAGGGAAAAGTCCAGCTTGGGGCGTGGAGCCAGCGTTGCCAGTTTTGGCAATTTTTACTAAATCTTTTTTTTTTTTCCTTACTTGGTTTTCCCAAGTCAGTCAGCCAGGATATCGTGTCACCATTTTTGCAAGCACTCAGGCAAAAAAGAAAGAAATGTGAGCTTCATGGCTGCAGGGGGAGACCAAATAATAGAAATTGCAGACATGAGAGTTTGTAAAGGTGGGGTTTTTTTATGCTTCTGTAAAAACTCATGGCTGTTTACAGCACGTTGGGACCGTGACTCCACATTCCCAAGCGCCTGTGTCTTGCAGGTGTGCGATTTCAGCATTAATCAGAGTTAATTTTTCACTATGAAGGTGGTGAGACACTGGAACGAGTTGCCCAGGGAAGTTGTGGATGATCCCCCATCCCTGGAAGTCCTCAAGACCAGGTTGGATGGGGCTTTGAGCAACCTGCCTGATGGGAGGTGTCCCTCAGGGGGACATGGCAGGGGGGTTGGAACTTGATGATCTTTAAGGTCCCTTCCAACCCAAACCATTCCATGAATCAGTGGGCAAGGGTGGTGGGAGGTGTGGGGTGGAGATATCGCAGTGTGGAGCTGAGCTGCTCTTCCAGCCGAGCCTGGGCCTGTGTCAGTGGTGGGGCCCGGCTTTGGGGCCTGCAGGTGTGGATGGTGCGCCAGGCACCACCGGTGGGTGAGGGCAGGGAGGCGGGGTGGGCGGCCGTGGGCGTCGAAAGCTGAGGGGCGGCCACGGGCCCGCGGAGGCGGCGGCAGACCACAACTCCCAGCCGGCATGGCGGCGCTGCTGCCGGGGGGAACTACAGCTCCCGTGGTGCCGCGGGCCGGGAGAGGGCGGGAGAACTACATCCCCCAGGGCGCCCCGGGCGGCGGGGTGGGGCGCTGCCCCCTCTCTGGGCACGGTGGGGCGGAAGCGGCGCGGCGGGGACGGACCGGGCCGGGGGTGCGAGGCGACGATGGGCGGTGGGTGAAGCGCCGGGCAGGGCCGCGGCCGTTGTAACCGTTGGAGGGGGCGGGGGGCTGAGGCGCTCTCCTGGGGTTCGCTGCCGGGCGGGTGCTCCCCCTCGCAGGGCTGTCGCCTCAGAGGCCGGAGCGGGCGGTCGCGCTCTGTGGAGATGATCCGACCGGCCTGGCCCCCGCCTCGGTCCGTGGCAGCGGAGGGTGAAGCGTGTCGGCAGGCCTCGGGCGGCTGTGGGAGGTGCCGGTACCGGTACCGGAGGGCGGCCCGCCCGGGTAACCCTCGGGCCGTGGGGCTCGGCGTTTGCGTGGGGTGAGAGCCGTTCGTAGGATCACAGCCTGGTGCTGCATGTCAGCCCCTGTGCGGGATTGGTCCCGGTGGGCCATGGTGCTGCTGGCCTGAGGGGTCCTACAGTCATTTCCACACACCCCACCCCCCCTTTTTTTTTCTTAATGAGATGTCTGTTAGATAATTTCAAATTGAAACGATGATTGAAAACCGTTTGGCTTGCTTTCTGCTTCCAGATCACTTCTTGGGAACTGGTGGTGGTGAAGAAACTGAATGAATGGAAGAGTTAAGGCAGACAGGGAGTTTGAACTTCATGCTCTCCGCTTGCCACCAGACACAAACAACAACGGTGTCTCTGAAGTGACCTGGAAGCATTGGAGCTGTGTGTCCTGGGGGGCTCTGAGGACCTCTGAAGGTAAAAAAGTGTTTGGTAGCATTCTTTCCCAACCTTCCGTTTCCCTGAGTATTAAAAAGAGGATCCTGTTTGGTAGCGTTGCCAGCCCTCTCTGCACATTTACACCTTCTTTTAGTCCTTCTGCCTATTCTGCTTTCCCAGAGAGCAGTCAGATTGCAAACATGTTTTCTGAGAAAATGCCAGCAAATGCAGCCTTACTCTTTTGTGATGCCAGGGAAAAGGAGTTTCTTAATTGTGGTGGCCTGCAGTTGGCTGAAGGGAGTGATTGCTGTAACAGGATAAAAATATGTATGTTTATTGTATTCCCCTCATGGTACAGTAACTTCTTAAAATGGTTCTCCATTCTCCAGTCTTACAGTTGATTTTTTGCCAGAATCCTTGCTTTTGTGTTGCTCTGTGTTTTTTCTTTTTCGACTCTACTGACTTGCCCTGTTTTTTTTTTCCCTTCTGTGGAATGCGTACATCTAGTTATTCCTTTGAATGTTGCTGCTGGTTTGGCCTTTGCCTTCTCTTTTATGAGCTGGTGCTTTGAGATTTTTACACATCTCACGTCTTTCAAAAATGACTCTTTATAATTGGTGTCATTTTTTATTAAGTAAGCTTATTCTAAGGCACCTCCTACATATTGTTCTGCATAGAACTTTTTGCAAAGTGTGGCATAATATCATAAACATGCAGTGTCTTTCTTCGTGGTCTTCTCTGCTAACTATTTCTTACTGTGCTCACTACTGCCATTGAGCTCTGCCTGGGGATTGAAGGATGGCCATATAAAGCCACTTGGGACTGTAGCCACCTCAGCTAGTTTTTACCTGTCCCTGGAGCTGTGCATTGCAAGAATTGAATGTAGGTAGCCATGACTCTTTTACCAAGTCAGTAGTGACAGTCTTTGAATTTACTGTTTGGTTTTGAATCCTTCATTTTGCTTGTGAACTGCCCTTGGTTGCCGGTTGGCATCAACTCTGCCCACTCCACTGTAGGCCAATGCACAGAAAGCTGGCTAGAAGTGTGCGGTTGTGTTCTGATACTTCCAACAGCAGTGTTCTGCACCTGGTAGCAGGGATGTTGTACCTGAAAGTAAGATATTTTTGAGCCCGTTGTTTTCTTCCTATATGTTAGGTACAAAGTTGATAGGACTTTGTTATTGTCAGCGTTTATATTAAAAGACAATGGCAGCAAACTGGAAATAATGTCCTGTTTACATTCTTTTTGCTGGATACTACTCTGAGCATAGAGCTTGTGGGTTCTTACGATTCCTCGTCCAGAGAGAGCTCTTTTTTTAAGAGAGAAGTCTGTTGCAGAGGGTTCCTGCAGACTCACAACAGTGAATGTAACTGCAATAGGGTGGAAAATCCAGACCAGCCTGCGCACCAGCCTGTTCTGCTGCTTGCCCTGGGAGTGAGTTAGTTCCTGGAGGATCTGCTCAGCTCTGAGCTCAGCTGAGCAGGAGCTGGGCAGCACAGCTTTGGCCCTGGAGATGCCACTTGCCCTGTTTGCTTTGTGAGAAATTACTGAGGTGAACGGGATCCCTCAGTGAACTTAGTGGGGATGAATAGTGAGGTCAGCCCTACACAGCAACTTGATCTCTCCCTGTTATGCTCATCCAATGTCCTGTGCACCTTGAGCTAGATGCTAGGACTATTGAAGGAAAGCATAAGTACGTAACCAAGAGTTAAACAGTGCAGAGTATTTGCTTTCAAGTCTGGACTTGATTCTAAGTTTTCTAGATAAATAAGGTCAGATACAATGTTTTCTACCCCTCGATGTTTGTCCTAGCTTATAAAAGTTCACAGCTTGTGGATTATTATTTAAGTACAGTTGTGGTATGCAGACTTGGCAGTATTTTAAATGGGTGCTGCTTGTCAGTTCACCAGAAATCAGTTCTATTCTTACTCCTAAGGGTGCGATCAAACAAAGCACACTCTCTGTAATATCCCTCCTTGAATATGGAAATTAAGCATAGGTGATGATAAGGGTACACTTTGTCTCTCCTCCCCAATGCTATTAGCCAGTTTCAACCAAATACAGGAGCAGATGCAAGGGAAGAGAAATAAGAGCGACATTGTTAGCAGCAAATACCAGTGCCTTTGAAACTCCCTGCTTCAATTTGCACCTTGTTCCGTAGTCCAGAATTTCTGATTGGCATGTCTGACTTGAGTGATCATCTTTTTCCCTGTGAATGTTGTGTTTTAAGGCATTTGCTGTTTCCAGTTGCGGTTCATTCAGTTGCAAAGAAGCTAGACCAAAATATTTTGATGAAAGTATGTGGGAGAAGGGAGGCGGAACAAGCAATAGACAAGAGCTGATTAGATAGTAGCTCGTGTAACCAGACTAGCTCTAGCTGCTGAGTTAACTTCAATTGATTTTTTTTTTTTTCTTTTTTTTTGGCAAGTGCCTCAAGCCTGATTCATCATACTCCATAAGTTTAATCAAGCATAGAAAATGCATGAGCACAACAGGCATTTGAGTTTCCTCTGACGTGTTGCACTATCTGCAAAGCATTCCATGTATTAGCAATCAATTACTCATTAAAGTCACGGTATTGTCATAAGTGTAAGCATGTGTGGTGTCTGTATTTTTTCATGCCTCCTTTGATCCTGAATTTATGCAGTTTTTGAACATGAAAGGAGGGCATAGATGACCCCTAATACAGGGAGCTAGACTAAAGCCCCTCACGCCAGTGTCTAAAGGCCTTTCAGTTTTGGAAGCCCTTGTCATCGTGTTCCCATGGAACAGGGCACCCACCCTTCATTGTTTTAGTTCTTCAGAAACACCATTGTACGTATTGTGTGGCATCATTGCAACATTTATTATCATTTCCAAATTTGTCTTTCAGTGCTTCCTTCGTGTTCTGTCTCTAGCACATAGATACATTTCTCTGCCTCCCTAAAGGCGTTCTGGCATCTTGGCATGGTTACCCATTGTGAACAGTCTGGAAGAGATTTTTTTGGCATGCTTGTGGTTCTTATCTTTGCTGTAAACACAAGCTGTGAAAGCCTTATGGGATGGCAGGCTAAAAATAACTTCTACCCTTGGTAATCTCTTAAGGAAAGATAAGTCTTCTGCCTGAGTGCTGTGGATGGATTCTCTGTGGTTCCTTACGGTCAGGATCACACATGGCAGTGAGCTGCACCATCTGCTCTGGGGACAGAGTTGTTGTTGCTCTGTCAGTCGCTGTCTCAGGGAGAGCAGCTAGTGCAGTGTGGCGGGGAGAAGGGCGATATCTGTGCCATGAACTCGCACATCCAGCGGATGCTGACTAGTACTGTGGACTTGTTGTCCAAAAGGAACAGTCGTTCCTTGATTCCAGCATGTTGGAAGAGGAAGACATGCATATTCTGAGGGGACACTGTAAGAGGAATGGTATCATGAGTTTTATACTGCTAGGATAACTTTGTATTTACTGTCAGAGGATTACTCACTTGGCCTTCTCTTTCCTTACAGCAGCAAGGGCGCAATGATGGATAACCGTTTTGCTACAGCGCTGGTAATTGCTTGTGTTCTCAGCCTCATCTCCACCATCTATATGGCAGCTTCCATTGGCACTGACTTTTGGTACGAATACCACACCCTGTCCCCGGCTGAGAACGTCAGTGACACTGGTAGAATGGTCTGGGAGGAATTTGTCAGTGAAGAGGCAGATGAGAAGACCTACACGGATGCGCTCTTCCGGTGTAACGGCACGGTTGGATTGTGGCGGAGGTGTATCACTGTGCCCAAAAACTCTCACTGGTACAGCCCACCAGGTATCTCCAGAGCAATTAACACTTCCCTCGCTTGCCTGGGGTGGTATGTGCTAACTTCCTCACGGTATATTCATGCCATTTTGTTTCTACAGAAGGCTTATTTCTAGCTTATGTGTTTGGTTTTTTAATAAAGATAGTCCAAATTTTTTAAGAAGCGAAAGGCAAAATGGTCTGTGGCTGTCAGTGCTACAGACTCTGGATTTGACATATGATACTTGATCTAAATTTAGTCTGGTATAACTTGATTTTCTTTTGCATCTGCTATCTGCCTGGGCATGCAGTTATAGCTGCTCTACCAGTCACTGTCTTTTTAGGAGAGATCCTGGGTTCCAGCAATGGAATAAAGATACTGCTTTATCAAGGAGGCACTTGCTTCTTTTAGCTAGTCGTTCATTTTGCTCACATGTCACAAACGCGCTGATACAACAGTGGGACATTTTGGATTCCTTGTACCATTGTGCTGGATATAGAATGAAATACTTGCATTCTTTTTCACAATGGTTGGGGGCTACAAAAGTGGTGAGCAATTATTTTAATTGCTTCAAAGTAGGTTTCAGACACATACTGTGTTTGTGCAGCCCTTCATTTTGAACTTTCTTTAAAAAAATGTAGTTTAATCACTTTTTTCTGGGGAATAAGGCATCACATTAAATACTTTTTTTTTTTCCTCTAATGAAAATACTTATTTTGGAAAACACTTAAACAAGCACTGCTCAATAGTATAGTATTCTCAAAGCAAAATCCAACTGAGACATAAAAGAGGAGAAATTTAGTATGAAGAAGCAAATATTTTCTGTCTTAAATAGTCCTTTCTATCCCATTTTTGAATGAAGTATTTAGCACAATACCGCGTTCTGCACATGGAGTTAATCACAGCTCAGTTAAGTGACTCGTGAGTACAAGAATCTGTAACAATATAGTTGAGCATCACATACCACGTTTCTTTCCCAGTGTTTCAAGCATGACCCAGTTCTCTGTGGATAACTCAGGTAAACTTTTGAAGATTCTGCATGTTTGAATGTTGTCCCTCATTGTAGGGACGTTACGCTAACTACGTTAAGATAAGGCATCCAACAGATCTGTTTTGAGAGGTAGCTTTTTCTCTAAAATGTTTTTTTCTCTGAGGAGCTTCCCAGCTTAAGTGGTTGAGGAAAAGAGGAACGGAAGGGAGGGAATGGAAGGGGAGCACCTAATGGTAATTTTTTCTCTTTTTCCTCCAGAAACTGGTATGACTACAAACTGCATCAGTTTTTCCCTCTCTGATCAGTTTATGGAAAAGTACATAGAGCCTGGAAATCACAATAGTGGCACGGATTTGAATCGAACTTGTAAGTGTCTTTTGCTTCTATGGGGCAAACAAGTAGGATGAAAACAAGACGTTTCTCAAGTATAGTTACTGGTCAGGGAAGTGTCTCTGTCTTGCTCTGCTTTTTTTTTTGTTGGTCTTCACAGTAGCACAGGCAGTAGTTTAAAGTTTAAAAGGAAAACTTAAATGTTTTAGCAAAAGTTTTGCCTGTGAATGCAGTACAGGAATTTGGGAGTTGACAAACGAAGTTCTTCCTACTGTAGTGGAGCCTTTGGTCCTTTTTAGCTGTGAACGTGGGGTGTCTGAAGCAACAGCAGTGTGGGGTAGAAGGGAATATGAGACGGTGGCAGTTTCTAGTACATTTTCAACAAATTGCTTTGTGTGTTTTTCACGTGCAGATCTCTGGCGACTGCAGTTTCTCCTGCCCTTTGTCAGCCTTGGCCTCATGTGCTTTGGGGCTCTGATTGGGCTCTGTGCTTGTGCCTGTCGCAGCCTTTACCCTGCCATTGCCACCGGGGTCCTCCATTTCCTAGCAGGTAAGTCTCCTACCATCCACCAACTTACCCTCCCTCCTCCAGAAGCTCATGGTAACCACCAGAACACTTCAACAGCGAGCTCATTGCTCTTCTCCATTTCCTTCCCCAGGGCTTTGCACGCTGGGCCTGGTTGGCTGCTACGTCGCTGGGATCGAGCTGCTCCATAAGAAGCTGCCCCTGCCTGATGATGTGAGGGGTGAATTCGGCTGGTCCTTCTGCCTGGCCTGCGTCTCGGCACCTTTGCAGTTCATGGCAGCCGCTCTTTTCATCTGGGCGGCTCGCACCAACAGAAAGGAGTTCACTCTCCTGAAAGCCTACCGTGTAGCATAAGTGCTGCCACAGGGTTTCCATGTTAATAGCCTGTTCTCCCCTCAACCCTTACTACTTTTTTTCTTTTAGTCAGGATTTTACCTTCTACTGTGTGCTTCTTGCCGGTTGAGACAGTTTAGCCTGCAGGCCCTGAAGACAAAGACCTCTGGGCTAAATGACCAAACTCTGCCAGAAGTCTGCAGAACTTGAACATGTTTTAAATTGGTTTGTTTTTTTTTTAAGAATTATTATTGTTTTTTAAGCTTCATTTGGTTGTTGAATATCCCCTTAGTTAGGTGTACATGCCCCTTCCTAATTTTATTACCTTGAAGGAAATAGGAGTAGTGGTGTAGGGTGGAAGAGAGATAGGAAAAGAGAAGATGCAGGTAAGCAAGGATGGGAAATGCAGTGCACAAATAACAAATAATCGGGAGCTGTCTGCTGTGTGGCCCAAGCAGGCAGAACATATGGAGACCACCCAAGAGACATTGGGGGGACTCAGAAACCTCTGTTATGAAATACTGTAGCTAAATCAGTCCTGTAGCTTTGTTTGGGGTCTCTTATTCTCAATAGTTCACTACTTCTTTTGGCCTCTGGCAAAAAGGGTGCAGGTGGAGCAGCCAGCTGTGGGAGTGCCTGCACAGCACACCATCCAGAAGTAGACAATGCTCATGTTTGCTGAGAAGTTGGATAAGTTGGCCCACATGGAGCTCTGTGCTGCTCTAGCTACACTGCTTCCAGGACCCAGGCTAGTTTGGTACCTGCACGATATGTGATTGTGCACTCTAATCTTAACTTGTGGTGCTTTTGCTTGCCGTGAAATAAGGCTTTCCTCTCTCTTGCGTTGAAAATGACCCTTCACAAGTTTTTTGGTTTTAATTTGGTTTCGTGTACGTGTGTATATGTACATATATAAACTTAACTTTTTTTAAAGCTCACCTATTGATCCTACATAGCACACAACAGGGTTTTTTTAAAAGGTGCTGCTCTTTTCCTGTCTTGCCCCAAACCTATTGTTTAAATTAAATAATAAAAAAGTTCAGAAATTTTCGGTGTTGCATGAATCTGATGGGACAGTGAGGGTATGGTCTGAAGTGAATTTTACTTAGGGGAAAAAAAAGCCACTATCTAGGTGGTTCTTTTCAGGGAAATGTCATCAGAAACAAAGATGTTTGGTTAGATTTATTTTTTTAATTAAATTCTTGGACTCCTGCTAACTTTAAATTCTCTTCTGCTCATCACTGGGTGGGTGCAACACCCCATAATTTCTATTTAGTTCACAGCTGCTGCACATATTTCTTCTAAATCACTGCAGCTCTAGCCAGACCGAGTGGCATGTATTATCTAGAAAACAATGTTCCAAGACTAAATTGTTTCATTCTAAAGCCTTAACTCCCCTTGTTTCCTTACTCCATGCTAAATAGGAGAAATATGTCTTAGGAGAAATAAATCCCGACAAAATGAGTGAGTCTGTGATGGCAAGGATTCTGTGAGATACAGTTGATGAGAATGACACAGAAATATGCATTTTTATCTCACGCATGGTTTTGGGGTTTTTTTGTGCTTTTGTTTTTTTTTTTTCAGTGGATACTTCTACCCAGGTTGTCTTTGCTGGGTCAGCAAGTAGCCCCCTGAAGATCAGGGTTATCTGCTAGTATTATTTCTTCATTTTTTTTATCATGTGTGTGATAGGGATCAACCTACTTCTTCTTTTATTATCATCATTGGAGTCTCTACAAAATGAAAAAAAGGAGAATTATGAAAACTAGGATGACTGAAAAAGCACCGGTAGTTCAAGATAATCCTCTTTCTTTTGCTGTTGAATAATTTTTCACCTTCCTTCTAAGACAGCTTCTTTCCCCCTCCACAATATCTGGGCCAGTTCTAACCCTGTGATTCTGTGGTACTTCTGTGCAGTATCTGAGAGTAAATGAAAATCTGTGCTGCTGATACATAGTGATACGGTGCTTTTTCGTAGTCATTAGTTATCTCTGACTTGGGTAGATAAGGCCTAGCTGCTCAGCTTCTCTGGTTGCTGATGTGTGAGAAATACTAGGGTATACCAGCCTTAGCTCAGGTCAAACGGACTGGAAGGTGCTGCTCTGCACTTTGAGAGGAAACACTGCTGATTATTTTATCTACTACGGTTTGGGTGTGTTTTTCTGTTTTTCAGGAGCTGGCAGAATAGTCATGTGATTTTAATCTGAGCAATGGGAATCCTCTGCGTTTGGTCTCTCCTCTTGTATCGGCACCTATTTTTCTGAAACGCAAATCTCACTTTTTATACATTAGCATTCTTGCTTCCAAAGAATGATTGTTACGGAGAGAAAATGGAATGTTAGAGGTGCTGTCAGTTCTTTCTTGATTATTTTAAGTATCAGCAACCCCAAGATTGCCTGCTTTTGTCTGTCTCAGAGAAATGCCGCTGGCTTTCTCTGCCCTGAAATGAAGAAAACAAGCTTTAATTGACCCTTGATTTGGAGCATTTGCCTAAAATGAGGGTCATCTTTCAGGGTTTTAGTTGTTTGTTTGTTTTTTTTTTACCCTTGCTTTTGTTGTAAAGATTGCTTCATCAGAATGGATTTCAGTGAGAAGCAGACTTCATCCAGGAAGAGGGCTACCCCTCTCCGTTGTCTGGGCTGATGGATCTGCTATTTTGCTTTGTAACTGTGCTTTACTCAAGGTGTCAAGGGAGCAGGAAGAGTTCTTGGACTGCTAGCTTGGGTCCACTAAATGGCATTGGAGGAGGACAGAAAAAGAGAGTGGACACTGAGGATGGAGTGGTTTTGTAACAGAGAGATGATTAAGCACACTAACAGATCATGAGACAGATCTTGACCCCAGAGTGTGTGGTGCATGCCCTTCACACCAGAAGGTCCTCATGCCACATTCAGATGTTGGTTGCATTCAAGAGAAGCTTGAGGTTGGTATGTATGTTTGTGGTCACGTACATACATGCAAATGCAGACACCCTCGCTCAAAAAAGTGAAGAGTGCTCCAGCTCTGGGAAAAAGTGGTGAGATTAAAGGCAGATTTGTGTTCCTTGGTATTTTGTGGTCTGACCATGGGAGATGTTTACTGGTAGTGGTTCAGTGTTGGAGACAGGGATGAGATAAAAAAAAGGAATGTCCTTGTATGTCTGTGTGCACAGGGGAAATGGCACACATCTCTAACACTGCTGTATGGGCCGGTGAAAGTGAAGGGAATACATACCAAAGGAGAAGGAGAAACAGGAGGAGGAGTCCTGTCAGACTGAGTGTGAGAACCAAGGACTCTTGACACAGCATGGGATCAATCTCCCAGGACTGCAGCGTGAGGTCCCCGTGTGGTACCATGTCACCAGCATGGCAAAGGCCACCTGCTGCTCCTCCTGCCCACTCGTGGTGCCGGCACAGCAGCAGCATAACCAAGTAGGTGAACACTCCTCTCGTGCTTACAAGAAGCCCTTAAGGGTTCTGTCCCCTTAATCTGAGGTGAGCAAGCTGTTCTTCAAGCATGCCCCTGTGACAATGTTCCTTCTTCACAGGCTTGGGCTTGTTTCCCTGTCAACCTAGTGAAACCACTAGGAAAGCAGGACTAGCAGAAAGCTGCACAGAGCAGTGAAGTGTTTAGTCTAGGTAGCAGCCTCTTCCTATTTTTTCCTCGAAGTGACATTTTCCTTGTCTTCTCCCGCCTCATTCCAAATAGCTCTGAGAAGGGGATGGTCAATGAAGCTGCAAAGAGGGCATTTGTTATTGTGGCTGTGACAGCTCCCACTGGTGTGAGAGATCACTGAAAACTGAAGAATAGTCAATCCCATTTCCTTACTTTAATAAAAAAGCAGTATAGAGCAAACACCAAAAAATTGGTTTGTTGTGTAAAGGGGACAGTTTGCCACTTACGAAAGGCGTAATACATTGTGGGTGCAAGTGATGGCATAGTCTTGGAATGACCCAAGGCCCTTCTGATCTGTTGTGATGCCAGAAACTTTGTGTGGTGATCTAGTTTTCCTTCTGGATTGTGTGTGCTGGCCAGGTGGCCATTTCCTTGTGGAAAGTCTTGAGTCTTTTTGCTATGTTGATGATGAATGTCTCCTCTCCCCTCATCTAAAATGCTCTGATATGTTTTTTGAGAAAAGTGTTTGGGTTGGTTTTAGGTGTGGCGTTTTTTTCATTTTTCTCTGTTCTTCGTCACTTATGGTTGGCACCAAGTTATGTACCAGCTCGCAGTCTGTCTCTTGCAGTGCTGTCGTAGTTCTGGGATTCAAGGCAATGAGTTCTGAAAACCTCTTTCCCGCTCAACAGCGTTGTGTGTGCTCAGCCAACGCCTGTGATTCAAAGAGAAAACCTGAAACATCATCATTGTATCTTGGGCTGATTGTCCACCTTTATCTGTGTGTATTTCCTGCTTGAGTAGATTGTCTATCTCAGCAGAGAGAGGATAACATCTTGAAGCTGCTTTTTTCTTTTTCTTTTTTTTTATAGCTAGAGTTTTGTGCTTTAGAGCTCCTTTATAACCTGGTTTCTGATAGGAAAAGATCAAACGTTTGCATGTTTACTACCAACTCTTTTATTGCTGTGGAATATTATTCTTGCCCTATATTTTTAAGCTACAACTTTCAAAACTGCAGGGTGTAAAGTGAAGCCTTTGTTCAAGTTACAGTTCAGATATGTGACAGTTGAAGAATGGATGCTCTGTAACTGGAAGACTCTATAGATATCTGGATATTGCAATAACAGCCATACACAAAATTACACTTAACAAGCACCTCTCTGCCTACTGATATATGCCAAACCTTTATACAAACCAATGACCACCGAAAAAAATCTGACAACAATAATGTATTGCACTCCTCACTCTTCCCTTCTAAAATTACTACTTTTAAAAATAACCATAGGGACAGTGTTTTACTTATTGATCAGGTTAGAGCAATGCGTGTCAGATGTCTCTGTGCTTTCTGTGTACAGACAAGGGTGAAGGCGATGATTATTGATTTTTGCAGAGGATCCAAGCATCTCTGTAGCTTTGGGTTTTCTGAGGTAAAGATTGAAAATTTTCAAGAAAACTAGAACCTTTTGTTTTATCAAAATTAATTGTTACTTAGTCAAAAAAAAATGTTTTTTTTAATAGCCACCTTTTTTTCCCCAGCTTTCTCAAGTCTTTCATCTGCATCTTTTAAAGTATTCCCTACATTAAATGGTTTTAGAATATTTTCCTTTTTAGCTTGAAGTTTGCGAGGATGATGATCTCCTGGTGTATTTTGTATCACTATCTGAGAAGAGGAAACTCTTACATATGTAACTTTTACATTACATCTGGGCTAGTTCTCAGTGTCAAACATGGATATTTTTAAAAATTTGGAGTACCTATTAAAAATAAGATTGATCCAAACATGCTTAACATAAGCCTTTCAAAAAGTAATCAATGAGGGAGTGTTTCCAGAGCACTTTGGAAGGACTCCTTGTGTCCCATGTTATGACCTACCATGTGTCTGGGCCTTTGCCGTCAGTCCTTTTTCCAGTCAGCTTCCACAGCTGAATGTACCTGAGTATGTTTTGCTGCACGATAGCTTGATGAAGGACCATTCCCCATTGTGACTTCACCCTTTATCATCCTCAAGATAAAATGGTTACACTACAACACCTCTATTGTTGGAAAGATGGAACAGCCCTGTGAAGAAGCAGCACACGCAGTCTCTCTGTGGAGGATGGTTCTGTGGAGGAACCATCCTCCATTAGCTGTCTGCCTGGAGGAACCAAGGCAGACCCTTCCCGGTGGAGGGAGTGCAGCTCTTTGCCAGTGCCCCATCATGTTTCCACACCCATAAGCTCAGTGGTGGAGACTTGTCTTAGCTCTAAGTGTTAGTATTGGGTGTCCTTCACACCGTGTCAGGTGAGTGTGATCAGAGCCTTTCCCAATGGTGTCCAAGCGTGATGTGCCATGAGTGTGCTCTTGGGCTAAGCTACCGAGCCAGTGCTGCACCGAATGATGGGCTTTTTCCTTCCTCTGAGGTCAAGCATAGCTTGTACCTTTAGCTGATTTAATTCTTTGGGAGAGCAAACAGTGTCAGCTACCAGATTCTGCAGAGAGATAAGTGACCAGGGCAATACCTTTTTCTGTTAAATGGTTTCTACATAAATTCACGGAGAAACCTCCTTCATTATCAGAGGATTTACCTGTGATAAGAAACACCTGTAGAGAGCGTCAAAGCCGACCATCCAATGTGTTTGCACTGATGTTGATTTAATCGTTGATTGAATCCACCAGCTAATTGCCAAACTGATGTGTGTTTGGAGCACTGGCTGGCTGAGCCCAGCAATGTGCTGGAGTGGTGCTAATTTTCCGTGATGCCTGGGCTCTGCCAGAGCTTTCCAGCCTGTAGGCGATACCCACAGCAGACGCTGGAGAACTGGTTCCACAGCTTCTCCACCTCCTGGAGCTGGGCCCTACACTGACCCGCGTTCCCTCACCACTGCCGATTCCCCAGTTTAAACAAACCACTTGTGTGGGTGATGCTGTGATCCCGGTGACTTTTCTCATATTGTTTCTCCAACCCTCATGAAATTGCTTTGGTTGACAAAGGAGTGGGGTTTGTCTTCACCAGAAATATGCTCTGTGTTGTGAGCGCTTTCTGGGGCTGTGGCGGTAGTTCCTTTTGCAAACAAGTTCCTTTTGCGAACAAATCCCTTTTGTCTTGCACTCAAGCGACCCATTTAACCAGCGAGGTCTGATTTGCATTTTGATGTTTACTTCCACACAAACCAACAGCAGCAGTGGTAGAAAACCGCAGCATCTGCCCGGTGCTAGAACTGCTTAGGTCTCGAGGCCTGAAGATCTTTGAATTCTAGAAGGTGATTAACTGTTGACAAATGATGAAGATGTCACGAATGGTGTCAGCAGCAGGATGCTGCTGGTGGAGTAGCCCCTGTCTCCCAGTACTGAACTGTGAGGTGAGGTCGGAGGAGCTGGTGAGCAGGGCATGGGCTGCAGGGGGAAATGAGTGGTCTCTGAGTGAGCCGAAGGCTGTGGAGCATCTTCACTGTTCTGCTTGAGCCACTGCAGACCTGCCCAGGAGCAGCACTCAGACAACTGTATAAACCGTGTGAGACACAGGAGGGACAATACTGGGTTGTTTCCCTTGTGGGTCTGGTGATGAAGAGGAGGCTGTAGCAGCCAGGGCTGTCCTCTGCAGGGAGCACAAGGAAGCTGTAGCGTTATGGGGAGAGGAAGCCAAACCTGTTCTGCAGCAGACGTGTTTTACCTCCCGCCACCTTAGTGAGCTGGCAGGAGTGTCATCATCCAGGTGACAGACTTGTTATTCCCCTTCTGTGTCTCGCTTCCTTCTCCCAGCTCCTGCATTAGTTCTCCCCTCCCCGTTCTCTCTCTTTCATAGTTTCTTTTACCACAAGAAATAAACTAGCTACACGCTTTAGAGGCACCTTGGGCTATACTCAGAGGACCTTAAGTCTGTCCACATCCCTGTTACACACCCAGCTGGGTGCATCTGGAAGCCTAAAGCCAGCTAGTTGGAAATGCTAGGCACAGGAACGCTTGTTAGGACGGGTAGCTATGGCCCCAAATGCCTTTTCAAGCACTGGCACCCTCTTTAATGTGGCCTGGATGATGTTGGCTCTGCTCTACCAGGCACTCAGCTTACGGTTTAAATTCTCTGCATCCAGTGTTTACGGAATGAGAAATAAAGCTGGTGAGGGGTCTGGAGAGTAAGTCTTATGAGGAGAGGCTGAGGGAGCTGGGGTTGTTCAGTCTGGGGAAGAGGAGGCTGAGGGGAGACCTTATCACTCTCTACAACTACCTGAAAGGAGGGTGTAGAGAGGTGAGGGTCGGTCTCTTCTCCCAAGTTACAGATGATAGGACAAGGGGTAATGGGTTCAAGTTGGGCCAGGGGAGGTTTGGACTGGACATTAGGAAACAATTCTTCACAGAGAGAGTGGTCGGGCATTGGAATAGGCTGCCCAGGGAGGTGGTGGAGTCACCATCCCTGGCTGTGTTTAAGAACCGTTTAGATGTGGTGTTGGGGGATATGGTGTAGGGGAGGACTTTAGAGTAGGGTGGATGGCTGGACTTGATGATCCCGAGGGTCTCTTCCAGCCTAGATAATTCTGTGATTCTGTAAATAGGACCTTGATTTGCAGTAAAAGATGTACGTAGTGCAGTCTGAGCTAAAGCAGCTCATGTTCCTGCTTCCTGCCAGCTGTCTCCTGTTACGCTCCCTGCCCTGGGTCATCTACACCCCAGGAGATGTCAGTAGGGAGCTGATATCTTCTTGATATTTGGGCATTGTTTGTGTTCAACAAGCTGGGCAAGGAAACAGGGATCAAGTGACCCTTGTGGTGCCGTCACACACAATGCAAAGATTCTGGGTCATAGATAAAAACTGCAGGGATTTTTTCCCCCCTGTTTTTCAGGGGCTGTATCATATATTCAGAAAGCTTTTCTAAAAATTATGTGAGTCACCTTTGTCTTCTCATTGAAAAGGAAGATTTTCAACAAAGATGTCACTAGCTATAAGCTCCCAGGCCCAAGAAAAAATCCTGAGAGCTACTTGAAGCGGTGAGAAATGAGTGGGACATAGAACGCCGCCAATAATGAAGATTCAGGAAGATTCATTTCAGGCAAAGGTAATGTTTTCTGTAGGCTTCCTATTCTGGGATGTGACAACTTGGAAGATGCATAAAAGATGCAGTAAATAATTGTTCTTCACTGGATTTTTTTTTTTTTAAGTCATTGATGTCACTGTTGTACAGTAAGTGAGAGGTATTATGTATCAGGACTTCTTTGGGTGATTTTGCAAGGGATGAATGAAATATATTGGGACTTGCTCCTCATGGTTTAAGAACAAAGGGCTAGCCTTGAAATTCTGCAGATACTTGAGTGATGCCATGGAAATCTGGTCTGTAAAATTCAGTCATATATATATTTATATATAATTGTGTTGAAATTGGTGCAGTGTTTTAAGGAAGTCAGTCACTTAGTGTAATGAAAAATTACCCAGAGATTCATTCTTCACATTAGATTCCTATTCCATTTGTGGCATTTCCTGTAGAGTTGAAATGAGACTATATGTACCTATTGTTTGTAGCCCAGAATTGCTCTCTTTTAGGCATTGATGAATTAGTTCATATGGAGTGATGTTAAAAAATGATCATAAATAGGAGAATGGGAGCAGATGTTTGATATGCAACATGTCCTCTTTTTGATGTTTGTTATGCTGAGTCAGGCTGAAATGAAAGTCATCAAGGGAATGCGTCAGAAATAAAAGATGACAGAGAACTCGACAAAAGCAAGGTTTGGAAAAGAAATTCTGAACTGCAAATAATAAAGCTGATACTCCTTCTGGTCTTGCAGGAAAGAAGGTAGCTTCATGCTAATGATATATTAATATCTGTTCTGAGGTAGTGGTCGTCTTGAGCTTGTTCACACAGAAGTATTTGTCAGCTCGTTTCCCAAAACTTCTTTGCAGTTTTCCTCTGAAAATGAGGCTAGTTAAGCAAGATCTCTCCATTGTTACTGATTTCTAAGACAGAATTAATTATCTTTCAAAGAGGAAATCATTTGTTTCTCCTGATACTCTTTTTCTAATAGATTCTGCCCTATCTGAATTCATTGTGTCTTATCAGAGGTGCTCCAATCTTGAGCTCCTCTTTGTGTCTTTATTTTTTAAGTAAGGCTCTTTCCAGCCTACGAATAGCTTCTCTCAGAGGAGTTCTTTGAACTCTTTCCAGCTCATATTATTGAACATTGCACAGATCTTCTCAGAGTGACAAAATGTAACAAGAAGGGAAAGAGTAATGAAGAGGTAAGTAAAATAATGAGCAGTTAATCCCAGAGAGAAAAAGTGGATCCAACTGAAAATAACCAAATTTGAAGAGGGTTGCTAGCATCTCAGTGCTACAGTGGTGGGCGCTTCTTCTGCTTTGTGGGTATATGAAGCTGATGCAGCAGCTCTCGCATTCAGAAGTTACAAGGAAACGGTGTGAGTTCAAATCTGATATGACCAGATCACAAATTTAAGGGTTTTAAATATAAATTTAAGATTTTAGCATTAGATGTTAATTTCATTTCAGAATCTTGCCCCAAGTTCTACGGAAAGATAAGGGGAAACGCTGGGGCTTTGTTGCTTGCCTAGAGTCAGTGGTACAGGGAATTTGTTTTGAAACTCTGTTGTGGTTTTTCGGCTTAGGGCTTTGTTTTGGTTTGAGGTTTTGTTTGTTTAGGAGGCAAAGAAAATCTTAGTACACGGTTCTGTGTATGAGAAGTGTCTCCCCAGAGATCACTGCACCAACACATTTAATCTCTAGGATTACACTGCTTTGTACATTGTCATAGGGCATTGAGGCTGACAAATTACCTCGTCTGGGGCTTTATCCTGG